CTCAAGACAGTTAAAATGGCTGCTTGTCAGATATATGTCCCTTCTTGGGCAAAACTTTCCTTTTCCACAGGAATTTTTTTTCTGACCTTGCATGATTCATCTCTGTAAATGAGGGTTCAGATGTATTTATTTAGTTATTACATTTAGTGCCAACTTTACTAGCAAGATTAGTTCCCAGAGCAGCCAATAATTAATCAGACACATAAAAATATGTGTTGGATCTGTGGATTTGTTCATTTTATATTGACCTCTATCCTAGGGGCACAGAGCAACGTACAACAGGTTTTCCATATACATTTGTGTCTCCAAGGGGCTCACAATCTTAATCATTGGAATTTATTGTGATACAGTTTTCCGGTGGGTGGATCGGCGATGGCGGTTGCTCTCCTCGATGTCCGAGGAGGTGACTAGCACACCCTCGGCTTGGAGGGGTGCCACCTCAAGTGGCACCCCCACGGAGCCCTTGTGAAGGGTTCCAGGCCAGGGGGCTCTCAAGGGTTAGCCTCTTTGATGGCTGGATGCTTCCCACCGCCCCGATGGTCCGGCTGGCTGGGTGACCTTAGGGTACAAGCCAATCTTATGGTACAAGGAGATTGAGCGAAATAGCATATGAAGAGAGCGGGTCAAGTTATGACCAACAATGAACGTGAGTTCGACATAAATGGATTTTTTTACTAAAACGGAGTAACCCCCCCCCCATGGGAAAGGAGGGACGCCTCCTAAGTGTGTGAATGGACTAACGTGGGGAAGGGGGGAAGCAAACAGCGAATTCTTTTCTGAGAGACTTACTTGAGTACCGATAGTGGAGCGATGAGTTTTTCGGGTCCTGGCATAGCGGTTTGGAAGTGTAAGCAAAGTGAAATATGGAGGCTTCCCGAGGAAAGTTAAAACCGAAACCAGGCAGTCAGAGCCCAAGACCGGATGAGGGAGCAGACATCATGAAGTCGCTAGCGGATATGCTGAAGCCAGTAATGGAGCAACTCGGTGGTATTAACCAGCAACTGGCCACACTGAACCAAAACTTCGCTCTGCAGCAGCACCAGCTGGCAGAAACGGAGAAGAAAGTGGAGCATGCAACTGTAAAAATTACAGAGATGGATATTGCAAATAAAAAGATGACGAAAAGAGTGACGGATGTGGAAACAGCACAAAAACTTCAGGAAACTCGTGTGTTACAGCTTCAAATGGAAAAAGCTAACATGACTCTCAGATTTTAGGGGGTGCCATAAAAGGAAAAAGATGATTTAAAGAAGACTCTGGGAGAGATCATCGCTCCAGTAACAGGTATTTCAGCGGATGAAATAGTAAAAGACATGGAGGCTGCCTACAGAGCGTACTCCAATTATATCAGGAGAAATGACCTGCCTGGAGAGATTGTGGTGAGATTTGCAAGAAGACAGACCAGAGATGCGGTATTAAAGGCAACCTCAGAAAACCCACTGAAAATTGGGGATACAATCATAAAGACTTTAAAGGATATACCATTTGAAATCCGTCAAAAGAGGAAAGGTTACAAGGAACTGATCTCATTTCTTCAAACTAATGGAATTCAGTACAGGTGGGCGATTCCTGAAGGTGTAATTTTTAAAGTTAACGGCAAAAGAGAGAAGATTGACTCCATCTTCAAAGCTAAGGAATTTTTGAGACGTCAGCTCGGGCCGGAAGTAGAATGTAAAGATGAAGAATCCAAGTCAAGTGACTCTGCTACCTTGGGAACGGACGAGGACTCTGTGGGGGAAGCGGGAGCAATGAAAAATGTGTATGACTGTAGGGATAGAAAACCGAAGTAAGGGCAGAAGGACTCTGTAAATGGCTCTTTGAAGTAAGAAGATGCTCAAGAAGAACTCTCATAAAAATTAACTTACTAATATAGAAGCTGTGTTAAACAAGAATTTCACAAGTATATTGTATCACTAACACTTGTATTACTAACATTTAGATTAACATGGAAAGGATCTCCTACTCTTGGGTTTTTAGTTAGTATGGGTATCTTTCCTTTATCCTTAGTTGTAGCTTCCCCCTCCCTATTTTTCGTTGTAGTTATTAGTCTTATGAAAAATAATAAAAATACCCTTTCGGGGGTTTTTTTAAAAAAAGGAATTTTTTGTGATACAGAGGGAGCAGATAGAGGAAGTAATAGGTTGACATTGCTGAATGGGAGTTAGTTGAGAGGAGTGTAGTTGCTACCTGAGCCACTAGGTAATACAGGTGCTTCTTCATCTGCCTCACTGCCCTGTCACCTTTGCCCTCCACCTGCTGCCCAACTGCCACTCCCAGTGGGACAGGTGCAATTCCCATACAATCACTTCTGTTCACTTGAGGTTCTCCCCTGCCCCCTGGTAATAAAAAATGGGAAGCCTTTTTGTGGGCAGCAAAACTGGTCATGTAAGACCCTTCCCCCCCACCACCTCATTTCCTCTCAGCCCAAGTTGGCAGCACAGTATAGTGTGAAATAGAAGGTTGTGTTAAAACCTGTTCGAAAAGTGTGGAGGAGAGTGCAATTTCTTACAATTCAGCTGTTAACCGAAACCAAGGCAAGTGATTACTCTGAGCTCCTCCTGCTTTTTGATGAGTAAAGCAAACTTAGTTGCAAATCACCCACCTGCAGCATTGGGCAATCTGTATTTACTTATCCTTTGTTCTTGCTACTCTGTTTTTTAGTGGGGGAGACTTGTTCAGATGGATACCGGGGATTAAATCTGTACCACTATTATAGTGTGAAGAATGCCTAAGAGTGCAGCTTGTTGCAGAAAGGTCTGAAAGGTCTGCTGGAAGATCTGTGGGACTTATAACTCAACAACAGAAACAAAAAGAAGAAGAACTGATCAGTCACCAAAAGCCCTCCCTTTTCTAGTTCATCATAATTTTCTCTGAATGAAATTACCAAAAAAAGCAGAGGGATTTTTACATCATACTGAGATTTAACTGACAGATGGCAATCTATTCCTAGTAACCTGCCAAATCACCTTGGTGCTTTGCTTGTTTCACTGAGACAGCAAGTATGCCAGCTAAATATAAAGATAAAAGTTTCATAATGAAGAATGAAGGTTTTCCGAAAGGTGTGCTTGCCTAGGTGTTGAAGGCTTTTACCGTTCCTAGCTTAGGAATTGTCATTCTGAGATTCATTGCAAATGCTACTTCTACATTATAAGAATATTAACATCTGTGTCTGATGATGGCAAAGTTCATGTATTTCTTCTTGTTAGGAAAAGGTGGGCAAACAATGTATAGATTGTCATGTGATACATATCTATTTCACTGTCTATTGTAATGCTGTGGCTTCACTTTATTTTAAACATTTAAAACACATAAAAGAAGACCATTGCTGCGTAGGTGCCTGGTAAGGCATTCACCCTCCCCCTTGCATTGTGTGGCCCTAGCTAGGCAATTAAATGTCTATGTAAACCACTCTGAGCCTTCGGGAAGGAGCGGTATAGAAGTCTAATATGTAATGTAATGTAATAAAAGACCACAACTGAAAAAACTCAATTATGACTGCCCATAAATAAAAACTAAATTAGTCAAATGCAGTTCTGGACAAACTCTATTCAACTGCCTCCTGAAGATTGAAAGTGAGGGGCCCAGGCTCATCTCCCTGGGGAGGCTGTTTTGGGGCTGCCACTGAAAAGGCCCTCTCTGGTTTGCCCACCAGATGAGCTTGTTTGATTGATCGGAAGTCAGAAGGGCCTCTCTCTGTGATCTTAATTCCTGGGCAGGAACATATGGAAGAAGATGGTCCTTCAGGTATCCCTGTCCCCATCCATGTAGGACTTTAAAGGACAAAACTAACACCTTGAATTGGTCTCAGGAGCAGGTCTGTAGCCAGTGTGATTGCTGTAGTACCAGGGTCACATGCTTCCAATAGTTGGCTCTGACCAGCAGTCTAGCCACACCATTCCGCACCACCTGCATTCCAAACACTCTTCAAGGGTAGCCCCAAATAGAGCTCATTGCAGTAGTAACTAAGGCATGGATTACTGTGGCTAGATCTGATTGACATAGGAACAGACCCAGCTGATGTATCAGCCAAAGCTGGGCAAAAGCACTCTGAGCCATTGCAGCCACCTGGTTTTCTAAGGTGAATGCTATATCAAGCAGCACTCCCAAGCTGCAAACCTGACTCTTCAAGGGAGATATGACTCCATCCAAGACAGGAAAGGTCTCATGTCCCTGGTTGGCCTTTCTACTAACCTAGAGAACCTCTTCTTGTCAGAATTAGGTTTCAGTTTGTTCACCCTCTTCAGACTATTACTGATTCCAAGCACTGGTTCAGAATATTAGCAGGGAAAGGAAGATAGAGCTGAGTATCATCCACATATTGATGACACTACAGCCCAAACATCCTGATGACCTCTCCCAGTGGTTTTATATAGATATTAAATAGCATGGGGTACAAGATGGAACCCTGCTGAACCACAAAGGCCAACAGCCATGGGGCAGAACAGAAATCCCCCAACATTACCTTCTGAGACCAACCCCCACCTTGGTAGGACTTGAACTACTGTAACATGGTCAGGCAACTGGTTTCCTATCTCATCTCCCAGGACGTTGCTATGGTGATCCATGCAATGGTCACTTCCAGGCTGGATTACTGTAACTCACTGTATGCGGGAGTGCCCTTGAACCTGACCTGGAAACTGCAGCTAGTGCAGAATGCGGTGGTGCACATTCAGTCGGTGCTGTGCCAACTGCATTGGGCTGCCAATCGAGTGCTGGATGCTGTTCAAGGTTATGGTATTGACCTTTAAAGCCCTATGTGGCCAGGGAACAGCATATTTATGGGACAGTCTCTCCCCGTATGTGCCCCAGAGAACCTTGCAGTCTGCAGATCAATATCTCCTGGTAGTCCCCGGCCCAAAAGACGTCTGCTTAGCATCGGCCAGGGCCAGGGCCTTTTCTGCCATCTTGTTCTGATTGTTCTAATTTTAAATTTAAATTTGATTTTGGTTTTTAGATTATATGTTTTAATGTCATTGTGTTTCTTATATGTTGTAACCGCCATGAGCCCACTTGTGAGGTAGGGCGGGATATAAGTCCAATAAATAAATAAATAGTATCCAGAGCTTTGTAGAGTTTACAAATGCTCCAGACCTGGCCCATAGCTATGGTGGGGCATCTCAGGGCCACGCCCCACAAGTTCCAATTCCAGAATACCTTTTAAAAATATTTATTTATGTATTACTTCATCCACACCCGCACCGCACCCTGCCCCCATGATTAGTTGGCGGTCCTGTGCCTTCTCCTGACTCGCTGTCTCCTTTCCTCTCCCAGCCCCATAAGCTTCCTGGAGGGCAACCCAAGGCTGGAGGTGGCAATGAAGTCAAGTGGTGCCTGCCCTTGCCTCAGGACCCCTGGAGGGGGGGCACCAGCGGCACCCAATCAATGCCTCCTCACCATCTCTTGCGCTCCAAAGAAAGAAGGGGGTCCTCTGGGCTGGGCATGTGCAGAGTGAGGACTAGTGCCTGTGCCCATGCCCTTGGCACGTCCCACACTGCCTCCAGCTGTTCTGCCAGGGTGTCCATCTGCAGCATGGGGAGTGGACAGCAGGACCTATAGGGGAGGGAGACAACCGGAGGCAGCTGATTCAGCAGGCAGGCAGGTGAACAGCAAGGGGTCCCGCCTGCATGCCTCTCCCCACTGCCTTTTCCTGATTAGCTGCCTCCAGTAATTGGCTTATTTGGTTAATTTAATTTAATTCCTGCCACTTCCAATACATGGTCCTTCCATTCAGGCTCACTACAGCACCCAAGTGATCACCAAGGTGGTAGCAGTAGTAGTAATATACATAAGGAAATAGGGATGTGAAATATACCTGTACCTCAATGATTGACTGTAGCCAATTTCAAGCCAAAACTCATATCAGACGTCACTTCACAGGCATACCAAGCATCTAATCTGCAGGTCGATGCAAAGAAAACCAAATTAGAACCAGTGCAAAGAGTACAAGAGGCCTGCTATATGCTTTCCCCCTGTTATTGCTGATTCCCAGATGCGTCTGCAAAATGAGGCAAGAATACATCTGCCATCCTGATAGTTCCCTTTTGGCCCAGCTGAAGGGGTATGCAGTTATAATGCCGAGTTGTCCAGATCACTCCTGGTTCAGTTCAATAAGATGTCACATCCTATTGATTGGATTGACTTACACTGAGTAATATGCTTTGAGTCTCAGTGAGAAAGGAGGACAATAAATTTTGTACATAAATAAATAAATAAATAACTAAATACAAATGTCACTTTTATACCGGTTCTGCAGTAATCTAGTTACCTGGGAGCTGGAGTTTGTAAATGGTAGTGTCATTAAAAAAGTCTAAAACTTTTTTAGAAGTTTAAAAGTATGCCAAAATAGAATGTAGGGGTGGGCCTGGTCATACAGCAGGCTTTGGCACCTTACTTTGCAAAGGTGGATTTGGTGTACTGGATATCCAGTTGGTATAGGAATGGGCAAAACTGCCTGCCAAGGCCTTAAGTGGAAAGACCTGTTAATATTGTTCTCCCTTCCTTTTGTATTTCAGGGCCTTAAACTCTGGAGTTGAGTATTACTGGGACCAGCTGAATGAGACCGTCTTCACTGTGCATTCCAACAGTAGGAGCACTGAGCGGCCTGGGTAAGTTTCTTTGAGGATAGGCGTAGAGGCTACCAGGCAGGGATGTGAGTGAGTGCATGGATTTTTGTGTTTATTCCTCTTGATTTTACAAGGGATGGCCTTGAGCTATGATTGTGTTTCCCTCTTGCTTTCTCTTTTGACAGCAACTCTGAGTATTTAAACTTTTCCTCCCACCCACTGCCACACTTGGCTAACAACCGCTGGCACAATGCCAGTAGTTATATTTGGTCAACCCAGTAGTGCAGGTTGAAATACATCCATCAGCCATGGCCCTTCCAGCTGTCAGTAATTCCCCTTATCATAGTCATTTGGGAGCCATATGTGACTGTGTGTATGAAAAACATTCCATTAAATTAAAACAAATGATGGTAAAGGAAGCCTGTGAAAATAATGGGCTAGTTGCAACTTAAAGCAATTATGGGACTGGTGGTCTCAGTGACAGTAGCTGTAAAACTAGTGTTGATGTCTTTGCTCAAAATCAAATATAAAGATAGAAAAGTAAAGAATAATGAAATAAGCTTATTTCCGGGGAAATGGAGAGTGTGGTAGTCTTGCCTCTTAATGCTCAGATGTGTTTGTCTCTCTTCCTGTCATTTCAGAACTAGTCGAGTCACATGGAGGACAGACAGGGACATGGGCCTAATGAATGCCATAGGCCTGCAGCCACGTAACCCCACCACCTCTGTTACATCACAGGGCACCCAGACTCTGGCTCCTCAGCTGCAAAATGCAGAGACACAGACTGAGAGGGAAGTTCAGGAGCCAGGAGTTGCTGCCTCAGGGACTACAGAGGGTAAGCACTGAGACAGAATGGCTCTTGACCCCAAAAACCCGTCCCAGAATCTACACTGGAATCACCAGGATTCTTACAGGCTGAACATATCTGCATATCGATTCTGTATTATCTCAGATTAGTATCTTGATTTAAGACCTTTTTGTAAGCTTTCATTCTTTGGAAGCAAAAGAATTGTGTAACCATTTCACAGCAGGTTCTGTTTGTTTTTACATTGCTTATGCATGCTATGTGTGTAACACTTTCCCTTCTGATTTAGAACTGGTCCTTCCCTAGTCAGAAGGCAAATTTCTATGACAAAGAAACCTTTTTCCATCTGCACAATATACCCCTCATAGTAGATACAAGAGCATCTCTCACCCACCAGTCCCCCCAAACGTGAGGCCCCAAGTGTGGCTTTCCTAAATTTGCAACTCTGCAGAGACTTCACTTACCAGTCAAACAAAAACCTGGTTAAGTTAATTTTATAACAAGAGTTTATTTTAGTATAAATGGATTTTTAGAAATAGTAAAATGGTGCTTGTAACCTATTTTAGTTAATTTATTATATATATTTTAAGGAGTTAAGTTTGTTCTGTTTATATATCAATAAAACCTATTTTAGTTAAAACTTACCAGTCAAAGACAGTTGGTGCCTAACATTCTCTCCTCTGCTATTGTATGCTCTGACATGTACACATACCTGAATAGTTTTTTCAGTATTAGATTCTGAGACAGACAAGCACCCTGTCCTGAGTCCCTTTGTTAATAGTACTTGTCAGGGGTCGGTTCGTAGAAAAAGAGCTAGGGGAACTCATTAGCATAACTCATTAGCATATGCCACACCCCCTGACATCACCGGAAGTGTGTCATAAGGCCACACCCCCTGACATCACCGGACGTGTGTCATAAGGCCACACACCCCGCCCCCAACGGTCCCGGCCGGCGGGAGTGCAAGGAAGCTCCGCGAAGGCCCTCCCTGGCCCCAGGCAGGCAGGGGTGGGGAGAGGCAGGGAGGAAGCAACTTACCCTCCCTCTTCTCCTGCCTCCTCCTGGGTGAATGAGGGCCGGAAGCGGGGCGGCTGGAAGCAGGGGGGGGCTTCGTCATGTGACCCGCCCCCCGTACCTCACCCAGGGGAATTGTGATCCCCCGCGATCCCCCCCGAAATGACCTCTGGTACTTGTGTTTAAGCCTTGAAGTACAATACGAACGGCAAAAAAGTATCACAAAAACATCTGGAGATTCTGATGGTCTGGTTTGATTAGGATTGCTCAGATGCTATAGGGATATGTCTGGGCCACATGTTACAGATTTTTCCAAACAGTTGCAGATTACACTAATGTATGCAAAAGCTGTCTAACATTATTTAAATCTAAGTCATGTAATTAATAATTGCACATTCTGGTCAGCGTTAGCAAGGTGGGACATTTTGTGATGGTGATATATTACTGTCAGAATAGTGCAGTACTTGGGGTTCTAGGATATATGGGAGATCTGTGAAGAGGGAAGCACCGTTTCTTATTGGCACTTAGAAGTTCTGCCATCTCTGAGCCTTTAGCCATTAGAAGTTTCTGTGAAACTCTGAGATTTGGAAACTTATTTCCTTTTTCATATGTGAAGCTGGGATTCCAAAAACTCTGTCCAGTGTACTTGGGTTTATGTTGAAAGCCAGATTTTTCCATTGTGCCATATCTGGAAAGATACTGGTGTGGATCCTACCCCATCCTACCACTCCACTGATCAATGTATGGAGTCTTCCTCCAAATCAAGTGGCTCTTCTGTCAAAGGAAAAACCATTTAAATTAAGTTTGAGGGAAGCTCCTTAGGCTGGATGAAAGCTTCAGACTGTGATCAGTAGAATAGTACTTTGTTGTAAATTCCACCCCAGTATCAGAAAATGTACCACCCTGCACACAGAGGAAATAAAATGATTCACTAGCAAATCAGATTGTTAAAGAGACTCACATTACCATGGTAAAGTAAATCTTCAGAGTGTCACTGCAGTGCCCTTCTGGTAGGTGCTAGGCTGTGAATATGTTATGTTCCCTAGCAATACACTTTACATATGATCGTATTAGGTCACAGAGCCTTGTCTGTTCATCTCAAGAACCAGTTCGCATTTTTCTCCAAGGAAAGGCCGGAGTGTTTAGAAACTTCGAGGCCACTCACAATAATCATAAAATTAGATGTTGCTGTGTGATGTTTTGTTTAAAAATTAACAGAGGCAGCAGGTTTTATAGGGATACCAGGAACTGCAGTGTTTGGCTGCATATTGAGTAGATAACGATAATTCCAAGAGGATAATGTCTTCCTCTCTAGGGAATTGAGCATTTTGTGCCTTAGTGGGGGCCAAATGATCTTCATCTTTCCTGAGAAGATCAGTCTGTAGCAGTAGAAAAGAGCAACAGTTCAGTAGCACCTTAAAGACTAACAAAGTTTGTGGCAGGGTATGACCTTTTGTGAGTCACTGCTCTGAAGGTAGTGAGCAGTGACTCACAAAAGCTCATAATCTGCCACAAATTTTGTTAGTCTTTAAGGTGCTACTGAACTGTTGCTCTTTTCTACTACTTTGCTGAGAAGAATTAGTCAAAGTTTAAGTTTTAAAACTGTAACCTGTTTGTTGCCTCCTCTTCTATTTTTGGAGAGATTGCTGCTGACAAGAATAGAGCTTCTGCTCAGATACCATCTGGTTGATGGTGGTCAGCCAACTACCTGTACTTTATTCTTAATGATGTGGTTTATCTGCAGATTCTTGATTTAATCTGTTCCACTGTTCAAAAGTATTTTGGATAGATAATGCTTAAGTAGAATTATCTGTAAAAGGCGAAAGATATATGCGATCTGAAGATAAACCAAAGTAAGTATGGCGGGAGGAGTAGAAATTTGCCTGCCTGGGGAATATTTTAACTTGAAGAGTGTAGCTTTTCATTTGCATTCCTTTCGAAACTATATATATTTCAGTATACAGAAAAAGAAAGTGAAAGAAAACCAATACAAAGAGAAAAAATACCTTAAAATCCATTAAATAATATGCCATTTTAATTATTTATTTTACCTAAAACAGCTAAATTCAATAATAATGTTATGATGGCCCCGTGTACTTCCCTCCCTCAGAGGTAAGATTTTCTCTCTAGTTTTCTTTCACTTTACTGACCCAGCCTCCCTAGAAACGCATTCTCTTCTTTGCTAAAGAACTCTGGCTGTCCTACCCTGTCACAATATGGTATTTTGGCTGTTAACTCAGCTAGGGCCAGGTCTTAACGTGGCTGCCGGTGTGGGGGGGTCCTCTTTTCCTATGGGACTTCTCATAGAGTTTTTTCTCTAATGATATAGGGTCCCCCTGCGATGTGCCCTGCGCGATAGCATCACCTCCGGGTGATGTCATTGAGCTGGGCACATTGGCACAAACGGCACTTTGGGGGCAGGGTTCCTTCCACCAGCCGGATCAGGGGCTGCGAAGGCGGGCAAACCCCTGCCCTCATCAGGGGACTAGCAACCCTGGACTCAGCCCAGGAACCTGAGGGAAAGGATCCCACTTTAACTTAAACAACTTAAATGGCACTTGAGGCATTTTGAAATTCCAAAATAACAAAATATTTTATTTAACATAGAGGGGAAAGTTTAGGTGAAATCAGGCATTGAAATTTCTGAAGTAAAATCAATACATGCACAGACTTTAGTTCTTATATTTCAGGCTAATGAGAGTTTCTTAAGCTTTTCACAGTGACCTAAATCTTGATGTTGAGAGGCTTTTGTTCCGGTGTTTTCTCTAAACACTTCAGTACATTTTCTTTCAGTATTCTCTGACTCTTTTGGTTTTCATAGGGCTGGTACACTCTTTAAAAAACTCTTTCCAGTACTCAAACCCCCTCTCTTGAAACACCGGTATTTGTCTTAAGGTTTTAAAACCTTGACTCTTAAGGCTTCTAACCACACCAGACCAGGGATCTCTGCAGTCTTCAGAGTTAACTCCATATTTGACTGCATAGGGTTAGGGTTTTTTGCTTCTCTCTCTGGAAGATCTATCCCCTTTGCTTGGCTCGAATGGGAGTCTCCATCTAACTACCCACTCGTCCTCACCAACTTTCTCCCAGTTTTCCGGTCTGTGTTAAACTGCTTTCAGCTAAGGCTGAATTCCAAAACTGTCAGTACTCGACGCTTCTCAGCTAGGGCTGAAATCAGACTGTCCATACACAATTCAGTCGGCAGAAATCTGACTGAATCTCTCCTCAACGTGCAGTTCTCTCAAGACTTTCTCTGCTCAGCTGATGCTAACCAATCAGATTGCTTGGAGCAGCCTGTCACTCAAGGTCCTCTATTTTTGCGAAGAGTTAACCCTTCACAGTCCTTCAGCTATTTGTACAGCACTTCTAAGCTTTTAAAAAGTACAGTTCATCACAAACATCTTCAGCTTTGAAGTGTTATTCCCTTTTCCAGTATTTGTCATAAACCAGTCTTGCAGTTTACCAACATATGAATTACCAGAATTTTTTTTCTTATCCTGCACACAGAATTGTCTTGCTCTTTTACAAGCAACGGTGCATAAAGTCATACTTCCAGCATCTGTGTTGACTATTTCCAAAATTTTAGGGAATCTGGTTTAGAGATTTAAATACTATTGAATTGTATAGCTGTTTTCTCTCAGCTTTTAGCATACCATATTCCTTTATTCTCTTACAATGTTCATATATTAGTTGGAAGTCTCATCATTTATGCTCATTCCCCATTTTCAAAGAGGGTCTGATATACTCATGAAAGTAAATGGGCTAGTTTTTCTAACATCAAATGTTCAAACTGGGTGACTTTTTTCATACTGAGTTCTTATCATTTTAAATGCTCTTAAACCTGCTTTGAAAATACTTGAAGAGGCAATAGCCATATTCCCATTAGTTATCCAGTTACTGTAAGTGCAATCATAAACAGAGATACACTGTTACAAGTCCATTGAAGTCCCATGGGTTTAGCACTTGACTTAGGAGGGCACTGAATAATTGTTGTCAAGTATTCCCGTATCGTAAAT